TATTATTAATTTTATCAAATGAAAGAGGATGATGAGATATGAACTTGCAACCACTAGATCAACATTGTTGTGATACCATATAAAGTAATCATCTCAATTCAAAAACTTATGTTGGTAAATAAGACTTTAAGATATGATTTGTATTGTTCTACAACACATTTCCTCAAGCGAAGATTTTTTAGATTTAAAATTTGCACAAATAAATAGAATGAGTGGTGAAGTTTGAACTTGTAACCACTAAATCAACCTTGCTTTGATGCCATGTTAAAAAATTATCCCAACCCAAAAGCCTTCCATTATTAAATAAAACTATAAGATATTATTTGTATTATTTTCTAAAACAAATATTTACATATATTTTGTTGATTTATATTTATTATTTCTATTCATCCAAAGTATAATTAAAATTAAAATTATATAAAGTTCAACAAACTATTTGATTAGAATAATTTTATAAGAAATCCTTAGTTATAATCTTATGATAATCTTATAATCTTATGATACCATACACTGACTTTTTAGAAAAAATACATTTTCTTTTATTCAAAACATTTTTCATGTGGAATCCAAGAAAGAATAGAACTTTTTTTTTTCTCTTAGCTTCTTTTTATTAAAAGACATATGAAACTTAATTCGAAAAGCATGATATAGAAAAGAGTACATTATTTTAGTTTTCAAGTATGCTTATAGAAAAATTATATGAGATTTTGGAGAATTTTTTTTTATAGAAAAGTTCTCATGGTAGACATATACATATACATATATGTGGACTTTATATTTTTTAGCTATTACTTAATTTAACAATATATAAAAAACTAATAAAAACTATTAAATTTATAGTACACATGCGATGCATTTAATAAGAAAAACTAACAATAAAATACATGTAAAATATTGACTTAGATATCAAATATGAACTTACAAGTCTATAAAAAAATAATAAAATCTCTTAGTATTTTGTTCATTAAAAGTGAATTGATTAGTAAATTTTTAATAATAAATAAATAAAGAATATGCATAATAATATGTTCATTAAAAGTGAAAAATCTACTTTGTTATCTATCTCGAGTATCAAATTAAACCATGTGAGAATTATCCTAATATGATTTGATCAACTTGACAAATTCAAAGATAATTTGAATAACAGGCAAAAGCATGATTTAGTATTTTTTTTAAAAAAATAAAGATGACATTTAAAAAAAAATATTAAAACCATAACATATTAGATCGATTAAGTTTTACTGCTTCACCAGTCAAACTCAAGATTCAGATCATAGATTCAACTAGCTTTGTTAATTTTATTTTGTAAGTATTTTTATTTAATTATATGACATAAAAAATGAAGGCTTGCAAAATTAAGTACTAACAAAATGTTAGGATTATATTTGAGAACAAGATAATCTCATATAAATTAAAACAAAATAAATTATAAAAATTAATTTAAAATTAATTAAATATTAAACAATGAAATAAAAAAAATCAACCCACACATGTGGGCTTATGAGTCTAGGCCTACGTGCCAAGACTTAAAAACATTAGCAGATGACACATTGTTTGTCAAGGTTGTTGTCTGAACCCGACTATTATTGTGATGGTCATAAAATTTAGAATGAGATTTATTGTCTAAAAATTCATTTTAACATATTTTTACCTGAAAATTCCAAATAAATACCATAAAACCTTTATAAACCTCAAAACACCCTAAAATTACTAAAAAAAAAAAAAAAAAAAGTTAATCAAAACATGTTCTATGTTTTTAAGCACACGTTTTATGTTTTTAGGCATGTTTATAGAAAGAACCACCATATTTGAAGTCCTCTAATCAAATAAAACTTGTTGACACCAAGATTAATTATTTTTATCATTAAATTATGGTGAAACAACAACTTTTTTTTTTTTTATCATTGTAATATGATGACTTTTTCTCTCTTATCTTAAAATTAAAGACTAAAAAATAAATAAAATTTTTTTTTGAACTAAAACTATAAGAGCTACAAAGAAAGAAAAAAGAAAATAGGTGGACCAAAAATTACCTTTTATAACGAATTTAATATTGACTATAAGATTTCCATTTATTTTACACTTGGGTTCTCTTCCGTTAAATTGTTTATTTCCTTAACAAGTTTTTAGAAATGGGCCACGAATTTGAATACAAAGACTGCAATTGAGAAAAAAAGTTTGAAAACAAAGTTTCAGAACAAAATTGCTAAAAAAAAAAAGGTGATATATATATATATATATATATATATATATATATATCTGACTGTAGATTACTAGAGTGATTTACTTAGCCTTTTGTATATTTTGCAATTGTACAGTGATATATTAGGCTAATATTTGTATGATAAAAGAATTATTCCAGGCCAAACTGCCATGACTTCGCAAAACTCTACAAAGAAGTACTATATGTTTTGGTCGTCAAATTATTAGAGTGATAATCTCAATATATTTTCGGGCCCTCCCCAGAAAACCCAACCCATTGAAGACTTAATCGCTGCTGAGAATGGATGCAACATTTCCAAATGGTGATTTTTATTCCTTTTAATAAAGATTAACAAAGTAGAGAAGATAAGAAGGATGAGTTCTTGGCTTCTTCACCAACTGTAAACACTAAATATAAGCAGAGATGACAGGTGGAAGCTAAATCTCATATCCAAACAAACAAAAAAAAAAAAGGCTTCGATGAACTATCTCTCTCTAGGATTTTTTTTAACGAGTGATATCGGGGGAAACAGTTAGCTAAAAACAGCTGGATAGAGAAGCAAAACAAGATAACCCTTAACCTTAAATTATATTAAATAAGAAAAAAATCTGTATTACTTTTAAAGATGCACCAAATTTGGCTTTTTCGTGGTAAACAACATTTTTTATGAAAAAATGAGAGAGCAAGAGCAAGGGCCCTGTCGGCTAGGGACTCTTCATTCTGCTAAGCGCAGAAGAAACAATAACAAGATAGGGATTATATATATATAACAAAAAAAGAAGTTATATCGAGGAAGAACATTCGATTTCCGAACAAACTAGTTCACAAAAACCATTAAAAATTTATGTTTAAACTTTGTGTCTACAATGCACTAAGATAAAACTAATGTAATCAGTTCATGCATCACTCCCTCTACTTCGAAGATATTCTTACACGATGTTGAAACCTCAAGCCTCACTAACTTCACCATCGTCATGAGTACCTTCGAGAGCTGGCTTATTGAGATCTAACAAATTAATGGGGATTTTAGCATTAGTCACAGGCAAGTAAGAGAAGTGCACTTTCTTGTGTCCACCGAGTGCTTGCCCCGAATCAAATACTTTATCACAAAATGGGCACTTGAAAATTCTTTTCCCAACACTTCTATTGTCTTCGCCACAACCAATAACATTACCTTCTTCGTGCTCCTCATGTATTTTTATCTTTTTATGATTAGCTCTATGTCCACCTAGAGCTTGATAGGACTGGAACCCTTTCTTGCAGGTTTCACATTTAAATTTTCCTTGTGATTTGTATTTAGCACGAGTAACACCAAACAAATAATCCTCTTTTTCATAATTTTCAACCTCATTCACATGTTGATGATCCTTTATGTCTTCACACACTTCTTTTTTAACTTGTTTAGCATCTTCTGACCAGTTATCCCTTGAAAGCATTAAGAGACACAAAGCAACATCTTCTTCGGCCAATAAATAAGATATGGAACTTACCTGCTCCGATGACTCGGTCACTTTCACCATTGATTCGGCGACTTCATCAGCTGATTTACGGCTCCTTTTGGATCTTCTCCGAGTGGGTTTCCTTGTTGACTCCGTCTCACTCTCTCCATCGTAAGAAGTAGCAAGATTAGGTCTTGAAACAGTACTGGAGACTTCCTGTTTCATAGATCGAGAGGATTGCGTGGGCTTATTGCATAGTAAAGGATAGTTTAATGAAGAAGATGACGGTGGTGATTTTTTAGGAGTGTTGTAAGTTTCTTGCGGTGGGATTGGTTTTGGAGGAAGGGGTAGTTTAGCAAGGTGAGATCTCATATGTCCACCCATGGCTTTGCCATTGGCAAACCGTCTGTTGCAGATCTTGCAGATTCGCGTTTTCTCCATGGAAGAAAACGAAGGCTTACACTTCGCTTCTCTCTATCACTCAAGAGGTAGGGTATATGTGCTCAATAGTGCAGAGAGTTAAAAAGAGTAGGTGACTAGCGTTCGCAAAAGGCAAAAATAAGAAGATACAGAAGTGATTCTGATATTGACACATACCAAGATTTTAAAAGGAATATTAAAAAAGGAATGCTAAAAGTATATTTTTTACATTTTTCAAAAGAAAAAAAAAATAGATGTTTACTATTTACCGAGCAATTATAATTGGTGCCAACCCCCTTTTATATGGCATATAAAGTTAAATAATGTTTATTATTTCTCTTGAAATTTTTGCTAAATAATTCTTCTGAAAATCGAAACCACTTAATAGTTAATAATGGTTTTTTCGTGCGTTCTACCTGTGAGATCCGCCTTATTTATGGTTAATATTATACGATAAAATAAAACAAAAGACAAAAAAAAAGTTGTGCAATAAATTTATTTCGAGAAGAAAACCTTTATATATATATATATATGAAGCGTTTATGCATGAAATCAACAATAATGCAGAAAGAAAGTGGGAGCAAGCTATAACTTATCACCGTCGCAGTAATGAGAAGAGAAAACAGTAAAATTTATATGCAAACATATGAAGTCACTTTTATTTTTTTCAAGCTTAATTTAGCAAAATATTACAATGCAAAATGCATGAGATCATGAAGTATTAGGAACATATTTTATACATATGATTCTAAATTTCTTAAATTCTAGTTAGATATTACTATTTGGTTGGTATGAATTTCTGCATTTTTATAATAAAAAACAGGAAAAAGAAAGGGAAAAAAGGTGAAAATTAATTAAATATATATCATGGAAGACGTACACTTATCTAAGTTGGATATAAAAAAATTATGGACTCTTTAGGTTGGTCGATGACGAGACGTCTTGATAAAACCCTTAAGGTAAAATAATAGAATGAATTAATCATAGTAATTATAAGCTGGCCTAAGATACCATTAACCATGATAAAAATAAAAAAAATAGACCAATATTAACTGAAAAGGAATGTTTTATTCACCAATTAAAATGCTATGACCCTAGTTTTGTAAATATAAATACTTATTGAGCCCTAAATTGTAAATATAAATACACTACCCCGCTACTCATAATTGCATTTCAATGCCATGGGACTGTTAAAAATAAATAAATAAATAAAAAACTTGACTAACTTTCCCGAAACGCAGATAAGTACTACCTTTTTTTGGTTAAATTAAAACATTTATCTTTATTTTCCATATATAAATGTTGATAGAGGCATCCTGAACCAATTATAACATGCCATTAGAATTTTACAGGTAATTTAAAATCAATTTTATATAATTAAATTTTGTTCAATTCAAACTCAATTAATAAATAAATTGCATTCATGTATTTAAAAATTAAAATTCTATTTATTTTATTTTTTTATATTATCTTCATCATATTCCTTCCATGATAATCTTTAAAAAAATAGTATTTTTGGGAAGTTAGTTTTAACAGTAATTTATCCTTTTTATTATAGTAAATTAGAGGGATTGACCTTGATTTATTTTTATACCATTTTAGAATTTAAATTTCATTTGAAATCCAATTCTTCACCCTCAAAATAATTCAAATATCTAAATTGAATTCAATTTAAATGATTTTAAACAGCAAATTGTTATATATATATATATATATATATATATATATATATATATGCGTGCGCTTTTATTAAGTGCAAGTAAAAATAATTACATGGAAAATTTTTATAGAAAGAAATGAAATTTTTTATTATTTTATGAAAACATTATCATTTATCTCATAATCGAGTTTTAATTATAGCTTCTAGCCAAAAAAAAAAAAACGAAGAAGAAGAAGAATGGTTTTAATTAGAGCATATCTGTCATGCATAATATGTTTGAAAATAAGTATCATGTAAAATAAATTTTTGTAAAGGTATCGGAACCGATTGGATGAACAAACATAATTCCCCGGCCAAGCAATTCTTGAATCATAGTTCGCAAGTGTGCTATAGATCGATGTCAATTATTCACGTAGGCCTAACAATGGAGAAAATTAAAAATAAAAAAATGTCTATAAATAAAATCCACAGTACTACTCAACGAAACATTTAATTTAACTAGATATGATATTTTTAATTATCCAAATATCTATAGATTTATATCTATGATTTTATTGCAATCTCATTTATTTATTTATTTATTTTTGTTAATATATCATGATAATATTGTGACTTCTTCCCTTACGATCAAGATCAAGAAGGCTAAAAAGGATAGCATGATAAAATTATGCTAGCATTTTCCATAACCAAGAAATTAAAAAATCAAATATTTATACTTTTTGTTTAAGATGGATTGTTGAAAACTTGATAGTGATTGCAAAATTGGTGATTTTTGTATGATGGGATAATGTCGACTACGTCCCTAAAAGGAATAATAAAAAGAGAATTTTTTAGGATGTGTATGTGTTTTTAATTATACTTCTTATTTATTAATTATACTTTATTTAGATATTTAGAATAAACAAGCTAGCTCTTCTATTTTTGTGTTTGGTGAGATTTTTAATATTTAATTATACTCCTTTAAATGGTAATAAAAAATTTCAGAATTCAAGACTACTAACCAAAGAGAAAAACTTGGATAATTCATCTGAAAATCCTAAAATGCAGAGTATATATAGTTTATACTTGAAAGTCAATGGTTACTGTTATAAATAGTTATCAAATATTTTTTCATTTGTTTAAAATCAACTTCTATATTTGTAATCTTTTCTTATTATGAAGATTGTAATTATCATATAATATTTTTAGTATCAATTAAATCATATTTTCTTATAAGAATTTCATCAAAAGATAGAAAAATAAGGTAATAAAAATACATATCTAGATGTTTAGAATTATTTTTTTTTATCTCAATTGCCACCACTTTCTAATTGTTTTACTTCATCTCCCGAACGCATGGTAAATGTTCATTTAATTACAGGGATAATCATGGGAATTTAGGAAAGAAAAGTGACTGTTGATTAATTAAACTAGGTTATCATTGAGTTAATTAAGAATAAAATTGCACTAGGGTAAAGTTGAAAATATTAGTTCATGTCAATTTTATTGTTATTTTGTTTAAAATCATGGTTAATGTTTATATTTGATCTCAAATTAAAAGTAGGATTCTTTAAATTTTTTGATTAAAACTTTGTTGGAATTGAATATCTAACATAAGCATTTTAACATGAAATATTAACATAATTTAGAAAAAAAATCATGGATAAATAAGAAATTAATTTCAAAGCATTCTTGGTTGATTTTTTTTGAAAAAACAAAAAACTCTCTAAGAACTTCTATCTCACATATAAAAAAAAAAAAACATGAAATATTAACGTAATTTAGAAAAAAAATGATGGATAAATGAGAAATTAATTTCAAAACATCAATATATTTTGGAAAAACAAAAATTAAACTCTTTAAAATTTTTATCTCACATATAAAAGAAACAAGATATCATTGTTATCTATATAGTAGGAAAATGAGAATTTAAAATTTAGCCTGAGTGATTTAAGTTTTCAAAAAAGAGAGGATTTAAACAGATGATAAGTTTCGAGCTCAAACCCGCACAAGACTTGTGTTTGAGTTTATTGTAAAGTAATTTTTTGCATTATAAAAGACTTTTTCTGCTATCTTAAAATTTGAGCTTGAATTTAGTCTATAAATAATTATTTCTTCTAGCCATATCAATTATTTTGTCCAACACTTGAATGAGAGGAGCTCATCAATTTTAAAAAATTGTTTAATTTTACATAATCTAAATATTATTTCAGCTCAAAAGATATATGATTTAAATAAAAAAACTTTTAGTATTAATTTTGATTTCATATAAGGAGGATATTCAAAGCTAATAATGAAGGAATTCCATAAAGTTTTTATTGCCAAAACCTTATATAAAAAGTGGCTAAAGAAAAGTGTTTTATATTGGTTTTTCTACATTGTTGAGGACGGTATTACTATGAAAGTTTTTACTTTTCTTTTACCTAATTTTGCAGTTTTGCTCTTCTATTCTAAGTTCTTGTATTTCTCTTTTTTCCTTTCATAATTCTTTGGATTAATTAATTCTTGTGGAGATATATTTTAGTTAATATTTCTTTGGTTTATTTGACGTTGTCTAGGAGTACACATAAACAAGATAATGTTGCTAAAATTTTTAAAGTTTTATTGAAAAAAATTTCTTTTACACCAAGTGATGGACAATAAAACCTTAAGAATAAATTATTGATCTTTGACGATGACGGCAACAATAATAACAATAATAAATTCTTAGATTGATTATATGCTAAGTTCTTCAACAAATAAGTATTTTTTATTAGATTATATTAAGTACATTTTTAATATATGCTTTTAGATGTATCTTTGTGATCTCAAACTATCATTACATGTTTTTTATGATCTTGCTTTGTTGAAATAATTATTTGTTTAACTTTATATACTTGTTATAGAATTTTATAAAATGTTGGCTTGTTAAGAGTTTGTTATTGTTTTAAGTTTTTTTTAACTTGCTTGTTTGAGAAGCTAATTTTATTTCTATAATCTTGGCTCTTGTCCAACAAATTTTTATCATGAATTTAACTTAAAAATTGGTTGTTCCAAATAATATTGCTTTGGAAAATACTATTTTGGTAGTGAGAGTTGCATCATCACCATTTGTGATGCATGGTGAGATTCCTGCAAAGTTAAATGAATTGAACTTTAAGAAGTGACAATTAAAAATTAATGATGTTAGGTTTGACCTTAAACTTGGATAAATTACTTTTAGGAAAAACGCTAAAATTGCCAAATAATAAATTTGATTCCATTATTGTGGTAACTTTGGACATATGAAATCCAAGTAATTTTATGTGCAAAAACTACATCTTGAATAGATTGAATAATAAATAGTGCAAAGACACTTTAGAATGTTTCAGATAAAAAATTCAAGGTTAGAGTTGTCATTATAACAAAAGTTAATGATTGGTGAATTTTTTAGATTTTAATATAATTGACTCTAGAATCATTGT